GTTGAAGCTCGGCGTTAAAAGGGGCTCTTTGTGCTCCCCCCACCCCCGCAGCCCGACCACAGAGCAGGCGGAACCCCCGAACGACCGGGGGCACCTCACAGCAGATCTGCCCGCTCCACAGATCAGCGTCCGCCCGCTTCATACCTTTCCCAACATCTTCTCGACGCGAGCCTTCAGGAAGAAGCGTCGACGAGGCTCCGCTTTCCTTTAAATTCCTTTAAAGGCTCCCAAAAAAAATATCGGGCTTTAAAAAATAAAACCTACCCAAACCGCGCCGTGGTGGACGGAGGTACGCGACAGGTTCAGCCTGGTTAAACGGGATCAAATGGGCTGAAATCAGCAGAACCCGGTTAGTTGTGTTCAAACGGTGAGATTGAAAAGTTACGCGTTGAGAGGAGTTGCTGCTGTTTGCTGCTGGTCACCGAGGACTAACGTCTCCGCAGCAAGACCCGAGTCGAAAGGCACCAGTTGGCCCCTCCCACTCTGGTTTCCATGGCAGCGGAGTCAGGAAGACGTGTTGTGAGGATCTGTTTCCGACAGGCTCCTTCAGAATAAAACACATTAACAGGGATTCAGACAGACGTGTCCTATAGTTTAATTATTTTTGAAGGGATCTTCTATCAAATAGTTATTAATAACTTGTCCTTTAAATGGGCTGTTATATATAATTTTTCTGCGTTATAAAGCATTTGTGACTTGTGCTAGCAAATTGAGCCCACGTTGCACAGTGAAACAATTAAAAGCATTTATTTATTTTTTTACTATTATTGAGATTTGCATGAAAAATACTCCACAAAGACACTATTTAGCAATCCTGAGACATAAAATGTCATTTCATCTTCCTAATCTACTTTTAAATCAAAGTTTTCTGACAGGTATATATATGATAATGATTATTAGTCTATTAACTTGTATAGATTTTTTAAAATCATTTTTCCATCCATCCATCCATTCATCCAACCATCCATCCATCTTCCACTTGTTCAAAAGTCAGGTCTTGGGGTCAGCAGCTTGAGCAAGGAAGTCTAGACATCTATCTCCACCTCCATCTCACCACCTCTTCCAGCTGTTCTTGGAGGACTCCAAGGCATTCCAAGACTAGCTGAGAGACATAGTCTCTCCAGCATGTTCTGGCTCTTCCCTGTGGTATCCTCCCAGTTAGACATGTCTGGAACACCTCCCTATGAAGGCGACTAGGAGGCATCCATACCAGATGTCTGGACCACCTCAAAGCTCTCCTCTGGATGTGGAGGAGCAGCAGCTCTATGAGTCTCTCTTGGAGAACTGAACTTCTCATCCTGTCTCTAAGGGAGAGTCCAGCTACCCTGCAGAGAAAACAAAATTATACTGCCGGTAATGTAGAGCTCTCACACACTGTCCTTGATGAATGATGTCACAACTGATAAGGTACTGATTAATGACATGGCAGAACATCATTTAGAAAATGACTTGAGTATCCCTTAAAACTAAGACTAATATTTAATTCATTATACTTTTTGCTAAGCATTTGCACTCCATAACCCCAACATGTAAACAGTTTTTAATGTAATAAATAAAAATAAAAATTTAAAAGGGATTATTTAGTGCCACTACAAAATAAAACGAAATTACCAGTTAAAAAAAATGTAACCACATTTACTTTATGCCTTAGGAATAGAGACGTGTGCTAGTGTCCATTTTTAAGAACAAGGGTGATGTACAGAGTTGTAGTAACTACAGCGGAATTAAGTTGATGAGCCACATGATGAAGATCTTGGAGAGAGTTGTGGAAGCAAGACTTCGACGAGAGGTGACTATCTGTGAGCAGCAGTACGGTTTCATGCCAAGAAAGAGCACCACAGATGCCATCTTTGCTTTGAGAATGCTGATGGAGAAGTACAGAGAGGGTCAGAAAGAACTCCATTGTGTCTTTGTGGATTTAGAAAAAGCATATGACAGAGTGCCGAGAGAGGAGGTGTGGTATTGCATGAGGAAATCTGGAGTGGCAGAAAAGTATGTTAGACTGGAACAGGACATGTATGAGGACAGCAGGACATGTATGAGGACAGCAGGACAGTGGTGAGATGTGCTGAAAAAGTGACAGATAGCTTCAATGTGGAGGTGGGAGTGCATCAAGGATCGGCTCTGAGCCCCTTCTTGTTTGCTCTGGTGATGGACCGACTAACAGATGAGGTCAGGCAGGAATCCCTGTGGACTACGATGTTTGCAGATGACATTGTGATCTGTGGTGAGAACAGGGAGCAGGTGG